ATACAGTCACTTGCACTAATAGAATTTACTTACAGCAATGAAAAACATGCCCTCGGTCAGTTTTGTGCCTCATTTGAGCAAAATATTGTCCTTGTTTGAATTTGGTTAAAACGGAAACACTCAGCTGGTAAAATAAATCTCTGCTCACGATGGTCTGATTGAGCAAATGTTCTTTAGTTAAATATATACATAATTGTTTCATATATATTTTTTTATATTTCCTTGCTTGCTGTGGTTGTGTACATCTCAAAGACATCTGGCATAATGGAGAGTCAAATCTCCAATAGAAATCACTGCTCAGTTTAAGCTCAGATGAAGTTGTTCATGAGACCAGACTCTTCACCATGACAACAAGGCACATGACACGCTGGGAGGGGGGGGGCAGTGGTGTTTAATGACGTGTGTCCAAGTAATGCCTTGATTGATGTGGGTGATGATGGGTTCGGACCGGCCATTTGAAACATGGGACGGGGTAATCCCTGAAAAGTTGTGTGGAGTTTGACACACGTGCTGCTGTCGGCAGTTGCAGTAATGATTCCTGCAGTCAGACTCATCTGTCATCTTGTCGTGGTCCCACCGAGGGTGTAAAGTTGCACCATCGAGTGCAACTCGCAGTGTTACACAGACGAAGACACACAAAGAGGCTGTCCTCAGGTGTGTGTTTGCGTGTTGGTGTGTTTGCATCCCCGGAGCCATCGTTCCACTTACCACATCCTGTTCAATCATGCTTGACAGAGATTTGGTGGTTGTCTCTCTGCCAGGCTGACCTCTGGGGACAGGTATGCACATACAGTACCCACCAGCTTGCACACATGGAACAGTTTTTCTTCTCTTGTCAACATCAACCAGCTGTTTTAGCAGAGCTGAAGTCTAGAGCAGACTAAGCAGTCAGAGGTTGTAAGCTTTTCTCGACATGTTGCAGACGGACATATTTTCAGCTGTTTGTCCATCTTTATATCTCACTGGTTAAAGTAGATCCTTATGATGAAAACAGTTTCTGCATTTCCATTAGAAGTTATATGAAAATGGACTAAAATCTTAGACTTAAGGCTTGTTTATACTCAGAAACCAGGTCGTCTGTGTGTGGCGCAGTGAACGCAAAGATGCCCCTTCCCCAGACAATCTGCTGCATCTCTCCCAAATTGTAAGTGACTGCAGACAGGAGGCCTCTGATTGGTCAAATCTACATCCGCTCTACACTATGCGTATTTCATGTTTGGTACCTTACCGGCTTGTTTTGTTTGCATGACCGCCATTGTGGAAAACGACTCGTGAAGTTGGACCAGCTAGAAGAGTGAGGTGTCCTTTTCCACCTGGATCCCCGCTCTTTTTCACCCTCATGTCCCACCGTTGTCGCACAAACGTGCTGCTTGTGTTTTTTCACTTCTTCACCGTCTCGGCCGTATCTAGACCTACAGCTAGTTCGTGATTGTCCTCCTTTAGACTTAAACAGACTCGTTCGTTCAGTTCAGTACGTTCAAGACATTTCCATTTCTAAAGTGCAGCAGTAATAAAATGTAAACATGGAAATATGATTTACAGTTTCCATCATTCAGCGCTTTTTTTAATTTACATTTTTTTTTTTACCCCATTTTATACAACATTCAGCAGTCTAATTGAAGTGGGGAAGAAGCTGTTCTGGAATCTGCAGGACCTGCATCGGATGCTTCGAAGCAGAAGGTAGAACAGTCCATGGTGGGGTTGTATAGGGTCTAGGGGTGTGCAAAACAATCGTCATGACTAGGGATGCGCCCCTCACGCCTTAAAACTGAATATCGGACATCGGCCACCCCACCGATATTTAACCCGATATTTGATCAGCTTCTGAGTTTCTAAAG